GGCCTGTGGACTCAAGGGTCCCAGGTTCGATTCCGGTCAAGGGCATGTACCTTGGTTGCAGACACTTCTCCAGTTGGGAGTGTGCAGGAGGCAGCTGATTGATGTTTCTCTCTCATCGATGTTTCTAACTCTCTATCCCTCCCCCATCCTCTCTGTAAAAAATCAAAAAAATATATATTAAAAAAAAAAAAGAAATGGTGGAGGAGGGAGAAGAGAAAGGGTGAAGGGAATGGCTCTTTGCTGGTATCCCCATATCTAAAAGAGAGCTTTAGGCTATAATCATAGATCTGTATATGCATTTTTGTCAAGAACCTGTGTTTATTGTAGACAAGGTTTGTTCTTTATTTTGCAACATGAGCTTTTTAGATGTCCTGAGGTAACTGACAATGTATGATAAAAAAGTAGAGCTATCCCTAGCTGGTTTGGCTCAGAGGATAGAACAACATCGGCATGCAGACTAAAGGGTCCAGGGTTCAATTCCAATCAAGGGCACATGCCTGGGTTGTGGGCTTGATCCCCAGTAGGGGACGTGCAGGAAGCATTTCTACCATTTCTACCACTGACTGAAAACAATTTAAATTGCTATAGGATTTTGACTTCTGAAATAATTATAATTGATACAAAAGAGGCATCTTGGACATGAAATTGTTAAACCATCTCACAAAAAGACATCAGGACTTGTTCATTAGGCTAGCAGCAAAGGGGCAGAAGGATGGATAAAGGGAGGGATGTGTGTGGATGTGTTCATATTTACATCAGTGATGATAACCACTCATGTGTGTGCATCTCTTTTGGCTGTGCTATAGGAACACATTATTAAGTATTTTGGTGGAAACCTGCGTCCTTGTTAACATTTTAAAATATAGATACTAATGAATTATCTTAGAAGCATCATACTTTGTGTACTATTGCTTTGTATTTTATTTTTAACTGAACATTAAGGGAATGCAGTATTTTTTTTTAATATATTTTATTGATTTTTTTACAGAGAGGAAGGGAGTGGGATAGAGAGCTAGAAACATCGATGAGAGAGAAACATCGATCAGCTGCCTCCTGCACATCCCCCACTGGGGATGTGCCCGCAACCCAGGCACATGCCCTTGACCGGAATCGAACCCGGGACCCCTGAGTCCGCAGGCCGACGCTCCTTCCACTGAGCCAAACCGGCTCCGGCGGGAATGCAGTATTTTAATTGTAACTCTACCAATAGCTTTATCTAGAGACCTGCTACTATTTTTGTCACCTATAAAATTTTTGTTGCCAAGGCAGGACCGTATTTTTTTCTTCCAGATTGAGTTGGTGCAGTGTATTTTTGGTTATCAAAATACTCAAATAGCTTTGGGACTTTGAAATAATAAATATCCATGATATGTGAAAAAGCCAACCGCCTGCAACCCCTCCCGCACAGCCGGCCACGCCCCGATAGGTCCCCACCACTCCAATCGGTCCCCTCCCCCAAGCCAGCTCCGCTCCCAATCGGCCCCCCCCTCTGATCGGGGGTGGGGCCAGCCGGCCAACCACCCATGGTCCCTTCTCCCCCCAGCTGGCCTGCCCCGATCAGCCCTGATGGGGGGGGGGGCCTGGCCAGACCCTCACTCC